GCGCGAACCCTCCTAGATTTTCTAGGTTTCTGAGGTTATGGACCCGCAAAAATTTTGGAAAGCACCCCAAAGAATTTTTCGGAGTGCGCGGCTAATGCCACGCACTTTTATTCGAAAAAACATTTTTGTTCCCCCCCCCCCCCCCCGCGGAAACCTGGGACTGCCACTGTTATTTAGATATAGGTATTGGTGCTGAAAGGGAAAGAAGAGCTAATGTTGAGCATTTGCGAAGTCATCTCTTGTCGATTCGATAGTAGATTCGTAGCATTTCCAAATTAGAAAACCCTTTGGGATTTAGTGTAGTAGAGGGTCTCCTATGAGATAAGCATTTCATTCACAGATTGCAGTGTAAGAATAGCCAAAGTTTGCTTTCTGCAGAAAGCTTTGCATACGCATATGTTTAAATGGTTCTTAGAAGTCTTGAAAAGCGAAGGCCCGGATAATATTAGGTTGGTGCAAAAGTAATGCGCGTTTTGCGAATTCTCACTTTGACGTGCTATAACTTTCTAAAAAATCCATATTTTTCAGCATGGCAAAATCCATCGGAGGCACCAAACCTCTCTCTATACAGCGCACATCAATTTGTGCTAACATCGCATAACGGTGAAAAAATATGGATTGATAAGCAAAAAAAATTTTTTTTGGAAACCTCGTTTTTAACTGATCATAACATCCTTCAAGATTTGCTGATATAAATGAATAGTTGACTGTCTTGTAGCCGCAAGCCAGTAGTACAAACAAAAGTTGAAAGGGGCTCAAACAAAGAAGATTTGAGAAAAGGAAAGAATAATATTCAAAATTGTCCACTTTTTTCGACATTTTTTCGTAGCCCTCAAAATCCCAAAATATGGAGATTTTTAATTTTCTATGTACTGAACAGCTTTTACATTTCTGCAAAAACTGTTAACAAGAGGTCCACCCTTACGCTTACAGAAATGAGCAAAACTTTGGCAATTGCCCTCTTCAGAGGAAATTTATGGGCCACAGAATGGCCAAAACTATCACTCATATTGAGGCGCCGAGATCTCAGTCTAAATGATTTCTGGGAAAACTGTAAAGCATGCATAACTTAGAAAATTTCTACTACATATAGCAGTAAGATTTTCAAAAGAATGCCTTTACTCGGGCTTGAAATTTGGCCGAAAAAGTAAGCGCAATGAAATTCTGGTTTTGAGTGCAGTTGTATGAAGCTCTATAAATTTTTAACGAATGAAGCTAAGAGCTTCTTTCAACCACCGTTGAATAGAGCGTGAAAGAAGCTTCTTAACAGTATGCCGGGTACGTTTCATAGGAAAAACTTCGATGGAGAAAAGCTTCTTGAAATAAGGGCTAGCGCGCATTACTTTTGCACCAACCTTATACAAGGATTTTAGTTGAATTAAAAATAATTCAGATGCGTAGTCGTAGGTAATAAATGGCATTCTGTGTGGTGTAACGAAACGTGAAAGAATAGAGTGGGAAAACAGCTTGAGCAAGTTGTAAAAGGTTTGCTGGAGCATTTTGCCTGGAATGAACGGTTCGCAGATGCGAGATCTTATCGCAACGCAACATGAAGCACAACCCAAAAACAAGCTGGATTTCGCAAACTGCATGGATCAAATCCAGACGGTTTCAAGGGTCATAGAAGTCTGCCGGGAGTACCGACTGCTCGTCCTAACCTTTGTCGACTACGAGAAAGCCTTTGACAGCGTCGAAACCAACGCCATCCTGTCTGCGCTAGTCGATCAAGGAGTGGACCCAGCTTACGTGGGGACGTTAGCCGACTGCTACAAGGACTGTACAACAACGATGCAGCTATTCCATCGCCCCCTGACCATTCCGATTAGGAAGGGGGTTCGACAAGGCGACACTATTTCGCCGAAGCTGTTCACCGCGGCCTTCCAGTGGGTGTTGAAGTCACTGGACTGGGACGAGAGAGATATACATATTGATGGGTAATTCCTGTCTTCGTTTTCGTTTGGGGACGACATGGATTTTTTTCGAGCAGTATCACTGAAGCAGAGACGATGTTGAAGGAACTAACAAAGTAGGGAAGATAGGACTGCGAATAAATCGGAAGAAGACTCAGTTCGTGGAGAACGCCCTTTGTGAAGATGCAGAAATGGAATTGAGCACCCCCACATGGAGTCGTTTTCTTACGTGTATCTCGGACGTTCGATGAACATGGAGAACGACTTGAGGGAAAAACTTAACAGGAGAAGAAGAGCAGCCTGGACCGCCTTCGGGCCTCTGAAGGAAGCCATTGACCGACTGGCGGACCCGGAGCTTGCCCACCTGTTCGACTCAACTGTTCTTTCGGCGCTCTGTTACGCAGCTGAGATTTGGCCGACACTGTAGCCACGTCGAAAGCTCTACAGACCACCGCTGAAGATGATCCGACAATATTTTGTCGGACTTACGGACAGTACTGACATTAAAGGAATGTCCCATCTTCGTAACCCAGCGGAATACGTTGTGAAAGCGAAACATCGATGGGCCGGTCACATCATGAGAAGAACAGACGACAGATGGACACTAAGAACATCGGAGTGGATTCCTGGCGAACCGAAACGTCCTCGATAATGATCCCAACAAGATGGGCAGACGTGTTCGTGGAACGAATGGACCAACTGAGAAATCAGCCGGATACGACTTTGCTGGGGGGGGGGGGGCGTTAGGTACCCAACCGAGGTGCGGGCGTTAAGTACCTAGCCATTAGTGATATACAGTAAGCCACGCCCCGTGGTTGCTTTAGCAGCGGGTACCTAACGATACACCAAACCACAGCCGCTAAAACAGCGCACCCTAGCTCACCAAATCGCTTGCGACCCACAGAAAAAAGAGAATTCAGGGAAATTCAAAAAATTTCGCAAATGAAAGCACAAGTTGTGCACAGCGTTTTCTATACTGCTTCTTTTTTAATCAATTTTAGAATCAAATTTTGAATGGAATTTGAATCAAACTTGAAATCAGTGAAAGTCTTCAAAGGCGGTAAATCTTTTATAAGCACTTCATATATTATAGCTATGCAAAAACATTGCGATAATCCGATCAAAAGGATAATGTCAGTGTGATAAAAATGTAAATTCTGTAAGATTTTCCGGCAAACAAAATTTTAATGAAGCAAAGCGCCTTATCGGAGATGTTAATAAGTTGCACGGATATTTTTATGCCAAAAACTGCTTCAAATATATTTTTGACAACGAAACGTGGATTGTTTGAAGAAGAAAGCTGAAAAAACTCGCCATTAGGCAATCGAAACTTTATGGAGAAGTATGCCCATCAGTCTGTTAGGGCATTAATTGTGATTCAAACAATGAAAATAAAGCACCAAGGAGCTATATAAATTCTGGATTGTTGGAGCTGCAGAATGACAGGGAAATGCAAAAACTATTGAAAGTGACCACTGTCAAGACACAAAAAAACTTCATGATTTTGGTTGCTCGAACTGAATATCATATTCTGGTCTGCCTTTGCTCGCTATCGATTGTTTATTTTTAAAATATTATCAGATCGGTGATTCTGCACCAGTAGGTCACTAGATACCAGCTATTGCTCGAGAATTTGCTTGCCTAAAAGATGCCTCCATTTTTTTTCTGATTTTTTACTCACTCTAAAATTGGTAAGCAGGAAGTGCCAGCGCTTTCAAGCTAGGTGAGCTGTTCTAGCAGCTAGGATTCGGTGTATCGTTAGGTACCCTCTGTTAAAACCAAGGGGCGTGGCTTAGTGTGTACCACTAATGCCTGGGTACCTAACGCCCACACCTCGGCTGGGTACCTAACGCCACGCACCCAACTTTCCTCCTTGGAACTCGTGGACGCAGCCATCGATGACTACCAAGAAGATCGTGGATGTCCGAAGCGAGGGACAGGGATCAATAGAGACTTCTGTGCTGGGGCCCGTACGTCGAGGACGAGCCATCTAATGCTAAGTATCTAACTAAGTAAGTATCGCACTGCATGGACTAAATCCATTTTGTTCACACGCCATGTTCATTTCGAGGATATTTTCGTGGATATTATTCAAGGTGTAGCAGGCCACCATCCCATCCTCGACATTGGTGATGATTTGAACATACTTATATCCGCCGCTTAACAAACTGCGAACCATTGTGAAGGTGCTGGTGTTAGGATTTAGCATATTATTGCGATACATAACTAACAATTATAACTGTATTACCCTATTTTCAGGTGTATAAGCCGCGGGGTGGTCCTAGCTTACATCGAGCAGCCCGAACACATTAATGGACCTCGCATCCAAAGGACCCTATACCCTGCTGCGTATTGCCTGAAAGAATCGTGCGGCATAAGGATCGCTTCTCGAAACACAATGAAGCGGCTGAGCAGCCCGGGCGAAAATTTGAAAAAGTGCGGCTTATACACCTGAAAATAGGGTACTAACAGATCGACCCTCATTGTTGTAGAGTTATTAGGAACCTCCAGCGCCAGGATAGAACTGTGACTTCAATAGAAAATTCGGACATTAGTGAGAAAGTTTCTAAACGCGCAGTTTTCGAATAAAAGGATATACGGCTTTGCAAGCTGGTGAGTTTCCGAGAAGCATAGAAAATGCTATCATAAATGCATAACTTTTGAACGGGAAGTTCGAGCGCAAATCTAGCATTCAAAGTCACAAATTCTAATGAACTTTTAATAGCAATAGGTTAGATTTTGGCTGTTTGAATTGCTTTTCTCGCAGGGTTTGACTCCGAAACCGCTTTAAAATTTGTTGATTGATAAAGTTTTTGAGTATTCGTTCCAACTGTAATTCTTAATACCTACTACAGCCTTTTCACCATTGTTAGATTAGTGAGAGAGGAGGAAAAAGAGGTAATCAACGTTTGACAGTAGATGCATTTTTCGGAAATGCTCCGTAATAAAATATCAGCCAAGGAGTACTTTTGGGATGCTGAAAACTTAGTACTGGCTACTGATTTTTTAACCTTCTAAAGTGGAGAAGAAGAGTCACTACACACGGAGAATACTTTGAAAAATCTACTTTCTTAACAAAACTCCTATTACCAGATCAAATAATTTTGCTAGTGACCGTGCGTTTCCAACTCCAAGCCATGCCGCCTGCTCTATTGCATGTTGTTCAGGATCATTCGTTGTACAACAGTGCGGAGACACCGTTATCCATGAAGGGTTGCTGACAGCTTTATTGACTGAAGATTTCTAGAATAATATTATTATTGATTCATTTACTCATTCTTATTCATTTACTTATGTGTTATTTTGTGAGACTCTTGTAAAGCTTACCTTGTCCGCGAAACTGTATTTCAAAAACATAAATGCAGAACGAAATTTGCGGAAAATCTCCTTAAGTCGTTCTAAGGTCTTGATTGGAGCTATACGAGCAACACGATACTCCTCGGAAAGGTTGAGACCAATGTGAAAGTCAATTCCTGAATCTTTTCTTTTGTTTCAAAATTCGTTATTCATTCGGGTTTATACTGCTCCCCTGCATTTCCATTTACAAATACGCAAATTAGTATCGGAATGATCCACCAAGCATTTAGGCCGTGATGTGTATGTACATCTGAACCAGAGTCAAGCAAGATGTGGCTCACGACCCCCTCCCGCTGGGTGTCTCTTTCTTGAACTCTGTGCAAAGCACTTCTCGGCCTTTGTTCTCATGGAAAAATCCACCTCAAATAACGCCAAACCATGGTATGGAACCAAAATTTAATCTGTTCCAATTTTCGCTTTTAACTGCTCGCTTTCAGCAACTGTTATTCAATGCGAGGAAGACGAATCATGCTCCAAACTACCAGTGAAAACTATGGAAGAGGTAAGTTGATATGGTGTGGCACAACCCCAAAAAAGCTGTGACTGCCACACTATTTTTTGTGGCAGTGCCACGCTTAACTCACCTTTAAAGTATTAAACATCTATTTTTGTTATAACTTTGAGACCCCACTCTTTTCTTCACAGTGAGGGTTTCATCCGTACTCGTTTCTCCTAGAAGAAGTGGTCGTTTCTCCAATCCTATGTTCATGACAAATACTGGGTTACGGTAGTATGCTAAATCTGCGCTACAACGTAGATTGCGAAGGACGAGGCAAAAATATATATTGTCGATCCATGTGTAACTTAATATGCTATTGCACACCGTGTGCGCTATTTGACGAATCTACGATATTGCGACCTGCTCTTGTTTTCGAGTGGAGGACATTAGGTCGCCGAATTTGGAAAAGTCCCGCGCGGATTCCCTGCAGGAACGCATGTCCGCGCATGTACAAGGGTGCGTATTTGTCGCAAATGACCGCGGGGACCGCCCTTTCTCGGCGACCTAATGTCCCCCACCCCTTGTTTTCCTGTCCCTTTTCATTGCTTAGCAATGTAATAAAGGATGCTCAGAGGGACAAATTGCATTGTTTGAGAAAGATAAATGACTTTGAAGAAGAGCGGCGATCTTTTTGGATTCTCCAGGGGATCACACAAAACAAAAAATTCCAACTAATATGGCAGTGTGTTATGCTCAGGTACTATTCTAATCAGTCTAGTTTCGTCTACTCTCAGATAGTAGTTGCTAAGGCTTTGGCCATACTTCGCCCGTGTTGCCGGTGTTGAAAGTGTTGAACGGAGATCATCAGTCTAGCAGTTTCATTCTTTCTCGAACGATCTCACCGGCTGGTGAATACGTTGGAAATGGAATTGGGGGATGAGAAATGAAACTGAAATGAGATGGGGAATGTTTTCGCATGCAAAAGATCCTCAAACAAACTTCTTGGAAAGTGGACGGCTTGTCTGGAATAGGTAATCTCCAATATTTGGGAAAGCTGACGTCTGAGTAGTAATGTGTTTTAGTTCGAATCCTGCCGCGCTTGCGATTAGTGAGTAAAGGACCTAAGTGAGGTCTGCAGCGTTTTCCTATTCCAGACAAGCCGTCCACTTTTCAAAAAGTTTGTTTGAGGATCTTTTGCATGCGAAAACATTCCCCATCTCATTTCGGTTTCATTTCTCATTTCCCAATTCCATTTCCAACGTATTCACCAGCCGGTGAGATCGTTCGAGAAAGAATGAAACTGCTAGACTGATGATCTCCGTTCAACACTTTCAACACCGGCAACACTTTCAACACTTTCAACACTGGCAACACTTTCAACACTTTCAACACCGGCAACACTTTCAACACCGGCAACACGGGCAAAGTATGGCCAAAGCCTAAAAGCACAACCACTGAGAGCGAAAATGAGAATAAACGAGGTTTTGGCTAGCTTCTTTCCCATGTTTGAGAGCTTGAATATTCGAACTGGATCTAATGTCGACAAAGAAGAAGTAGTGCTTCGAGTGTGTGCAAAAAGAGGTAACTAACTCATCTTCAAAACAAAGTCAATCGTCAAAGTCAATGACCATTACTTGGGAGGCCGATTATCTGAAAACCATAGAATTCGCTTTGGTCTACAAGGTGCAATTGACATGTTGGTTGCGAAAATGATAGTTATGCTTTGTAGTGCTTTTTACGCTTGCTGTACGTATACAATGGTAGGACTACCTTAGTGTGCTTGTGTTTTGCTCAACGGACTTAGCTCACGAGTACGTTACTGCTCGCATCAATATACCTAGATTACGACTCCCTTCTCTCTGACTCCTCAATATCCCCGAGGTGTGGCGTGCCACCACCCCATAGTTGACCCTAGATGTGGATTCCCTCATGTGCGCAAAAAGGGGTAGTGCATTGCACTGAGCGCAAAAAAAGCTAGCACAAACTTCGAAACAAAATCAATTGTGTTCGAAATAGACTATTTCATTAAAGTTTGATCCGCAATGGTTAGCATGCTAATTACAAAAATAATACTCAACGTGTTTGGTAAGGCTTTTTGATCACGCTTACTGTACATACAGGATGGTAGGTCAGTAACATTGTTTACCCCTACTAGGACCTTATATTAGGTTGTCCGGAAAATAATGTAGCATCGTGTTTTATCATGCAACATCGCAGCAGGGTGCGCACGAAAGTTAGTAAGTGGGGCATCAACCGATAGATCAGAGCAAGCGCTACAAAATCAAGCTCGAACCTTTGCGCCAGGTTTGATTTGCATGAAGTTTGGAGCCAAATTTCATAAGGCACTAAAGATCTAAAAAACGAAAAAAAAATCGTTTCTCCGTTTGGAAAAGCCCCAATAACCTCTAACTTGCTCACGCATGGACTCACTCTACGAAACACTCGTATGCACAATCTCCGGTTTTTCCATGGCTGAGAAAATGAAATTCGGCATATTTTTGCCAAAGCAATCCTGAGCTTCTCTCAGAAGGTGCTTTTGTAGTATGAACCTTTAGGAGTATAATCCTGAATTTTCAACTTTAGATATGCGCTGGTTTTCGAGAAGAATCAAATTGTTTGCAAAAAACCCGAAAAATGCGATATAATCGCAATTTTGACCATTTTTATTTGTCGTACTGTAATCATGGAGATATACCACAAAGTATACAGGTGAATGTCTAATGTGGAGAGTGCATGCATGTGCAAACTGGAGATCCCTAGGACGTCTGTGAACGGAGATCCGATTTTTCGAGTATCTGAAATTTTTTGTATTTTGGGTTCGAGCTTCAGGTGGAGCAAGATTTCCGCGGAGGTCTGTAGACTGCCTTGAGGAGCTTGCTTTGCTCTATCAACAGATATTCCATTCGCTGTTTTTTGTGGTCTCTATCGCGGTAGGATGCCATGCGACATTATTTTCCGGACAACCTAATAATGACGGACTAAAGGTTGTTTTGTGTGTTTGTTTTCGTATGTGTGTCTGTCCGTCTGTTACAAAATTCGCAGAGCAATTTCTAGCCAAGTAATTGAGCCAAAATTTTGATCTGCACCCCATCAGCACGTTGCTCCACTGTGCAAAACCAGAAGACGATCCGATAAGTGGAACTTTTGTAAAATGGTCTCTCCCGGCTTTCAATCCACAAAACTGGTTCGTACTTAGAATTCTTTCCCCATTGTTGATTTGCCTAGCTATATGTCTTTGAGCCAATGACTTTTGCATGAAAAGTAATTAAGAAGATTTTTACTTGAGGATGTAACTCACGTTAGCTATTGTCATTGTGATAACTATCAAGCCATAACGATTTGGTAATCTATCCAAACCCACACTCTCAAAAATCAAAATAATTTTTTAATTTTTCTAAAAATTCAATTTAGCCCTATAAAAGAATTTTCGGGGGGGGGGGGCTGGCTGCACGCCCCCGTTTTCTGAAATTTCGGGGTAAGGGGCATGCAAAAATTTTGGGAAGCATACCAAAAAAATTTTTGGAGTGCCTGGCTAATTTTTGTCGCACTTCCCCCCCCCCCCCCCGGGAGGAAATCCTGGGCGCGCCTCATTTAGGCAACGCCTCCGCGTAACTAGTCTTCACACAATGTGCAAAAATAGAGCGGAAGGATCAGCAGTTCGTGGATGCGGTGCCCAGTCAAGTGGGGTATTCGTTCCTATACCCAGTCCTGGGGCGGTATTTATCAAACTTCTGTATAGGGGTTCCCCCTACAGGTAACAGCCCGTACAGGCCGGGCAATGGCGCCCGCGATCTATAAAGTCAAGCTGGTGGCCGGGATTCTGTCAGAATATGGCCCGATCTGGCAATTTTGGCCATGGTGGCACGGCAGTCGGGCAGCAGTTCCCCATCTAGAGGAGTCGGGCGGCGCTGCCCGTTTGGGCCGCGCTTCTCAGACTTTCATAAATCGCGGGAAGGGCGCGCTCGCCTGTGCGGGTTCTCGTTAACAATGGCCCGCACAGCGAGTGGGAGATTGATAAGTACCGCCCCTGAGCGCATCGCCCTGTGCTCCGCGAAGCGGTCGCTCTCTTCTGTTAACTCCTCATTTGATGCGCCCCATAAGCGCAATACTGAGTGCTTGCTTTCAGAAGGTCAGGGTGCGACTTGTACACCCAAAATAGGTTGCTTGTTCTTACGTTTCTTACGTCTCTTTCTTTAATTGAAGCGGACAAGCCTACTGTAAGCCCCGTATGCACGTACATTCCCTCTGGGGAAGGAGGGAGCTGCGGGGAAGCCTTATAACCTCGGTGTTCTCCGCATTGCTTAGCTGTTTCCTCATTGATTGGTATGCCATTTTTGAGTCGCTCAACTAATTACTCAAGAATAGGTGGCACCTGAGCACTAGGAGTGCAGCTTACAGTATCCGCTGGATCCTTTAGGGGATCATTGTTTTTTTCAAAGTCATTTATCTTTTCACAGAAACATCGTAAAGTTGCGTGGAGGATCGATATTACGGTGCTACTCATGTTTGTGGTGGAAACAAATGAATTCATGATGACGAAAATTTCGCTGAGTTTTTGTTCGCTGATCGAAGTTGATCTAAAAACTTTGAAATTTTATGACCCATCCGTCCCAACGAAATTATGCTTAGCGCTGTCATAATGAATTCTCAGCGGTATACTAATATATACTGAGATCAAAGAAAGATAAATGACTTTGAAAAAAAGTGGCTATCCTTTGTGGAACCCCTAAAGGATCACAAAAACAAAGAAAAACAGCTAGTATGGCAGTGTATTATGCTCAAGTATCATAGTAGTAAAACCTTGAAAGATGAGTAGAAAACCGATGGTCACACCTCCCAAACTATCAGGCATCTTTTCACAGGTCCCCTCAGAAGTACTGCATACGAGTCCAAGGTCCGCATTAACCTTCCCAAATGGGGAGGAAAACGCAGCTTAAAAGAAAACTTCATATGCTGAAGCTTTAGACATCTGGATTCCTCGTTGTCTACTCATCCGCAAGCGTCTCTAATACCCCTTACCTACCCCTTACTGTAAGCATATCGCAGGAGCGAAGAGTTGCACAAGCCGCATTGTCCAGCTTTTTGTATGGTTTTCTGATGATCGCCGGCAGCCTACCATCTTATACTGCGAGTCATTTTTCTCTCTTCAAAGTTAATGACAACAAAGTTGTACTGTTTATGTAACCCAACAGCGCTGAGCATGTTTCTGATAAGAATATTTGACGTATAGAAGTCATGAAAAAAACTGCGAGTAGAAGTTGCGAGTTATCGAGAATCTCACAGTTTCGATGATTCATTCATTATCAGAAACATGCTTAACACTGTTACCTAGATGTTCAGTACGGCTTTGAATTTTATTAACTTCGTAGAACGAAAGACTCTGAAAAAAGGAGGTCAGAGTATCAGATTGTCATACAAAAAGCTGGAAAATGAGGCTTGTACAACTTATCGCTTTTGTTCAATATGGCTGTAGTTAAGGATAGTAAATTTGCAGACAGATAGATAAGGAGAATGCGAGCCTCAGCATATGAAGCCTTCTTTTGAGATGCGACCCCCTCACAGTGAGGTTATGCAAGCGGCCCAATTAAATATATCCTAACACTACGGTAAGCATCCACCATACCATTTGGTTCAGTGATCTCCTCTCGCAAAAACTGTCCAATTCCTCGCTTCTTCTTGTCAGTATGCCTGACAATTTGATCGACAAGCCAACCATATGTAAGTGCGTGATAACTAAAGTTAGTTCCTGGTGGCAACTTGGGTGCTTCGTTCTCGATCAATTCTCTCATGAGATTGTGTTCTGTAGCTATTTTCTTGGTAATGGGCTCATTGAAGTAGTGCAGGCCTGACTAGAACACGTAATTTTAGACCTGCATGATTTGCCGGTCATTTGTTTACCATGTGCGACATCACCCATTCGACAGTGATATTCCCTTTTCCATTCTTGGCAAATCCTGGCCAGTGCTTTGATACAAGATCGTCATATCTAAGCCTTCCTCGATCGGCCAACAGCGCAATACAAAATGCAGCTACGGCTTTGGTAGTGGAGAACACAACGCTGATTGTATCCTGGGACTCCGCTGATAATTTGCTACTATTCAATTAAAAGATCGTGCGCAGTACCTCTTTCCAAGTTCTTGCTGCCTGTATGTCTGCATAGCCTCCCCACAGATCGACAACTTTTTGCCCTTTCACATAGACAGCAAAAGAAGCTCCTTCTGGCTCTAGTCCATCGATAAAATTTTGCCTAAATTGAAGCTAGAAGCGAGTCATGTCGTGACAACACCTGACTCACTCAAAGACTTTTCGTACGGCCTCATAGCTGCTATCTACTTCCCCACCAAAATGAATGGGATGGTTTGAGTGAAGCGTATCCATACCACAGCTGATAAGGAATGCAGCAACACCCACGAATACTGCGTAGCGTAATAAACCCATGCAAAAACTGAAGATTATTTTTATGCGTTCACAAAAGCGTAAGGCGATAAGCTAGCCAAGTAACATCTGAGAAGCTACAGTCATTGAAAAAAGTTCTCGGAATAGACTTTAGACGATTTTCAAAAGTACTATTACTAACCAGGACTTAAGCTGTACCGTTCGATAGAGTGAAGCCGCATAGCATAGTAAGCCCATGTGAAAACTGAAAATTTTCAGACGTTCGTAGGACAATGAATACGCCGTGTGCGACGATTGCTTGACAGTATTGCGGTACTATCAGTCAGCAGCTTAAAGGCAATGTCGTGTCCAGGCAAATCTGGGCATATGGGTTGTTTGCCTGGAAAATGTCGAGGAGGCTCTAGCTAGGCATTGCCCAAACCGTAGCGCAAATATAGGGCTTATCAAATCGAGTGTCGCTTGCACCAGCATCTCCATCTTCGCGCTGGACTCTGCGTCTCTTCTGCGGCACGTGTTCCCTAAACACTTCCAATCGATTGAGACTCCGCCTTTCCCACGCTCGCCCTGGGAAAGCGCTTAGAGAGCAGCCCCATGGAAGAGACGCAGAGTTCAGCGCTAAGATGGAGTTGCTGGTGCAAACGACACTCAATTTGATAAGCCCTATAATTCATTCACGGCTGGAAAATCCATCCACAAACACTCCGTTGCTGCGCCGTGACCGTAACACCTAGGATTGGTCCCAGCGCGAACGTAGTGTTAAAGTGAGCGAAGTCGTCTTTGGGTTACGGTCACGGCGCAGGCGCGGGGTTTTTGAGACGGATTCCTCAGCCGTGATTGAACGATTTGCGCTGCCCCTTGGGCAGTGCCCTAGTTAGGACTCCTCATCAATTTCCAGGCGAAAGAGCTATGCGACCAGATTTGCCTGGACACTGGCTTTGACACATTGACGACCGCTTGACACACATAGTGTGTCAAGGATTGACACACCATAACTCTCAATGGCTACTAAAATGTGTCAAACCAACTCCGGGAGTTTTCCTTCATGCTGGATTTAGTCACAACCTCTACTGTTGCCAGCATTCCAGCGCTACTGTAGGTGTACTGTAGGTGGAATTGTGCCTGATTTTATTTGAAAAATGTTGGCTAATCCGAGAAAGGCCTCGGTCGTCAATGTGGTAAGGAAGGGACAAGAACCAAGTGTGTTAGATCGTCAAGCTCTAATTTGCCATTGTGAAGTGCAGTTTTTGCAATAGGTAAGTTATTCACGACTATGGCACTGAGGGAGAAAGTTGGAAGCACTACTTTGAAAGCTGTATTGAAGAAAATTTGAATTTCTTGCTTTCGGATTAGCTGATTGAGCTGCCGTGACACACACTCCGAAAAAAATTAGGAATGTAAACATCTGCTATTTCAGAGGATTGCCTTCATCCAATGCATAATAAAGAACTGTTCCGTTTCATTCGGTGCGCTGAAAGTCACTACCGTTGAAGAGTGCAATTTGAATGTTTATGTGTGAATGTGGGCAATGTGGCTACAGCTTCTTCACACCTTTAAAACAAGACTCAAACTATCCATAGTCAAAAAGCTCCATATTCTCCGCATATAAATGCACAAAATTCTTATAAAGAGTGTGTTACAATCAGTCAGCAGAGTAGAGCAGAAGATTGTCGATATTCAAGTAAAAAACGCAGCAAACCTTATACTAAAGCAAAAGAGAGTGGAGCTCTCATAACAGTACAGATTGGCCATATAAATCAATGCTCATAGTTTTACAAGAAGTGCTCGTGACAACAAAAGAAGGAAAATTTGAGATTCTAATCGGAATGTTGTCAATAAATATGAAACTTTGGAAGACGTTTAGATGTTCTGCATCAGACGTAATTCTTCAAAAGAGCACCTATTTCAAAAGTGCCTGAATACAAATTGTCTCTTCAACGTGAATTGATGCTTTGAACGAATGCAACTCTAGCAGAAACAACGTACAATTATCGCATCAGGAAGCAACAGGGGGTTATTGGTAAAGAGTGTTTTGTCAAAACTTCCCACGTAAAGGTGTTTTCCCTTAAAACTTTTTCAAACAATCCATGGAAGTTCAACTTCACCCTAAGTATCGAAAAGTTAAAGGCACCGTTCATTAAGATTCTCCGCTTCCATGTTTTGGTCGTTCCAAGGTTTTTATGTTCCTGATTCCGAATATGAAGCCTGGAATCTGCGAAGACCCCAACAATCCGTTTTGGAGAACCCGCAGGCCGATTTTCCGGAACGGTAATTGGGTAGGCGCGCAGGTTGGGCGGGCATACTGGAGGGGAGGTGCGACTCGGGGTCCTCATGCCTCTTCGCTGTTCCGAAGTGAGTTTATCGCTCGAGAAAGTCACTTCGGAACATTTTGAGCCGCGACTTGGGCACTGGCTTGATAGAGGCTCCAAAACTTCGTTTTCATACCTTAATACACTGAGCTATGTACTGTTGTGTACCTTTGAGGGAAAACGCTACCTTCACTTGTATAAAAGTTACAAAGAGAAACCATGGATACTAAGCTCTCATCCAACCGAAATGATGATGAAGAAGGAATTAGACCGGTAATTCAGTAAAGTGTTTTAGCAGCACTAGAAAAGTATTCATAGCCTTTATCGTGCCAAGAAGGTGATTTTTGCGAGAAATTCTTCGAAGATGGCAAAGTTGCTTCTCGTAGGACCGATTCTGGCACACTACGAAATGAGTCTAGAAAATCCTGAGAGATGCTGAAGTACAATGAAAGATACAAGTGCGCTCAACACTTGAGCGAAGACCGCACACGAAAATGCGGCCATCGTTATAGAGTGCCAACCTTGGCGGCATTTTCACGGCTTACAGTCGTCTTAGACGATCAGAATAATATATGATGTCTGAATTCTGCCGGGAATTCATGGAGATCTATTACGCTGACGGGGAATTTGGCTGTCTTCTTTTCTCGTTTTGAATTAAATTGCGAGAAATTGCATACCATCCTTTAGCTCTTGGTTTTAACTTACACGGTGAAAAGTTTCCGATCATTTTTGATTTGAAGGGAAAGTCTCAAAAAAAATCTGTTTTCAAAACCGTTTTTTCCTTCACTTTAGCTCTTTTCTTCTTTCCGTAGACCTAGTCTAATGTGGACAATGTCGCCGAGCATACATTCTCTACTGTGGCTAATTACTGGGCAAAACGGCAAAAATGCTTTCTCCTCATAGCTTTTTCGGAGTTAGCGATTATTTTTTCAGGAATTTCTTGCTCAGCATAATGTGCGGAAAACATCGCCGGTAACAGAAACGACAAGAGGAAAGTGGAAAAAGAGGTGCAACAAAATGGCCCTAACGTGCATTTGACTTTCGAAAAATAAGACTTTATTTGAATGATTTTTCTTCTGTCTTTTCCCCTGCCAATAGCTGCTTCCGAACCGTAATTGTTTTCAAGACAAATGTAAAAAAAGAGTTAAGCATTGTCTAGTTCTCCGCGAGGGTGAAAAACGCGAAGCGAAAACCTATGGCTTGGAACATCGAAAGAATAGAAACTTTTTGCAACGTTGTTGTCCAGTCTTCCGCAGTTTTGCTTTTGCTACCTACAGGGGTAGAAGTGACGTGCATTAGGTTGCACGAAATTCGCGATTATAGCTTGGCTGAAAATGAAGATAGAGAGCTCAAATTTGGCAAGGTTGCTACGGTGCTAACTATCCACAGTTTTTGGGCTTCATTGGTTCACTCCTTACCCCTTTCTTGGAACTCATGATTTTTAACATTATACAGTCCTGGATTTTTTTCACAACTGAGTTTTAGGAAAGCTGAAGCGCTGTTAGGCTTTGAACATCACATAAAAAATTTCAGGCTGATTGGCTCAGTCTGAGGTTCGATTTGAAAATCGGGCAGGACTTGTATTCACTGTGAAGATGGCGAGAAGCCAAAGGTATCGTTAAAAAACTGTCGGCAAAATTTAGCCCATCTATGTTCTTTCCCTTTTTCTCCAAACTGAGTTAGGAGCTCTATTTTCCCATAGAATCATGGATCCGCGTTTTGATAATTATTGACCTAAGAGAGGGAAGGGCGCCTAAGCCAGCTCGACCTTGGGGCAGTCTTTAACTGCGGGGCAATCTCTCCCGTCCTCCTCCCCCATCGAGAGATCTAGAGGAAAATTCGGAAACCTCTATAAGGTCGTGTAGCAGTTGTCTAGTCTCGTAGTTTGAGGGTCCAGGGCTCGTGTGCTGCTTACTTTTTATTCCGCAAAGGTATTTAGCAAAGCTAAACATGACCACAAGCGTTCAATCATATCTAGTGCCCCACTTTGATAAGTGAGGCTATTGTAAATCGAAGATATACTGTCCCATCTAGTCGCGGCATATCCGTCAGAGACCTTTGGTTCTTGCGACATCGAAAAGAAGCAGACAAGAAAGGAGCAGAAAATAATTAGCAGGTCTTCGTCCTGCTCGAAGCTGTCAAAGACATTGCGAGCATTGAACTGGAAGTGGATGACGTGATGGAGGGTCGAAGAAGATCCGGTATGGTTGTGAGACGATGAAGATGATGAAACCAAAATCGAAACAGCACTTGAAAAATCCCACATATAAAGTATCCGAGGACAAACTTTCATCTTGCAGCATGAGTCCACTTAAATTGATTGATGAACACCCTTGAGGAGGAGCTGCACAACAATTAGCTAACAGGATTCAAACCCCGGACTTTCCTACTATGAAGCTAGACACTTACTCACCATACGACCTCCTACTGGTTGTCAAACTCCCTTCGCCGGTGGGCGCGACTCAGAAGGAGAAGGTCGTCGTGATCTTCATCCGAATGATGCGCCGCAGCTAATAAGGGAGGGATCATAAATCATACTGGTGATGGAATGATATGCACATTATTAGATGCGTCCCGATGAGCTGCACGCTTTTTTTGAGTTAGGCATTTTCGACCGTATTTTTCTTGGGCAATCATTATCGCGAAAGTCCTTCATAACTTCTTTTAGAGAAACGGAGGTTAGATTCGAAATCACCGTTCCAAGACGAGTGTGATGGTATACGATTCATTTTAAAAGACTTCAAGTATCGTTGCCTTGCAAGTTAGATGTACTTTTTTGTTAGTTTACTTCTAATTCCTTTTTCTAGTTTTTTCTAGTCAACTTTTGATTATAGGAAAGGGCTTCTGACAACCTACATGAGGCTATAAGTCTAAACTATAAACATGGTCATGAAAGCATGGGATTTAGTTGGTAGTCTTTACAGCAATACTCCTCT